AAAGCATAGTGATTAATCACAAAAACAATATGTAATTATATATGTGTTTTCCGATGGCCTTAGGCGACCCCTGTGAAAGGGTCGTTCGACCCCCAAAGGGGTCGCCACCCACAGGTTGAGAACCGCTGCTCTGACGTCTGACCTTTTCACCTGCTGTCCAGTTTCTTCCATCCACGAACATCCCTTTATCCGTGGCCTCTGTTGACCCCGGTTAATTTCTGATCTCTGGCTTTGTCCCTTCCCTTGATCACAGGCTTGCTGCCCCCTCCTCACCCTCGGACCCTATCCACCACCTCTCTCTCTGTCTCTCCAGGGCTCCAACGCCGTGGCCTCGGCTCTAGGGGCCTGTTTGCTGCTCCGGGTGCTGGCGCGCCTGGAGTCCGAGGCTGAGGAGGGAGGCAGCGGGAAGGAGCTGGCAGCCAAGTTTGAGGGGCTGGGCGTTGGTGCGTGGGGCAAGGGTGCTTGGGGGCAGGGGTCCGGGGCTGCAGTGACGGGGGTCTGTGCGTCTCCCCACTCCTCTCATAACCCTCCCCCTCCCCGCCAACCCCTCCTCTCTCCGCTCACACCGTCTCCTTACTCCTTGTTCTGCCTCTCACTGACCCTCCGGCTCCCAGACCTCTTTGGCGAATGCCACCGCAGCAGCGAGGACCGGGCTGCCCACCTGCTCCTCCGGCGCTGCCCATTCTGGGGGGATGCCACCTGCCTGCAGCTCGCCATGCAGGCCGATGCCCGCGCCTTCTTTGCCCAGGATGGAGTACAGGTGAGCGTCGGAGGCCGGCCTCCCAAACCAGTGGTCGGCAAGCTCATTAGTCCACAGAGCCAAATAGCAACAGCACAACGGTTGAAATTTCTTTTGAGAGCCAAATTTTTATAAACTTAAACTATATAGGTAGGTACATTGTTATTAACTTCATTAGGGTACTCCCAAGGCTTAGGAAGAGCCACACTCAAGGGGCCAAGAGCCGCATGTGGCTCGCGAGCCGCAGTTTGCCGACCACGGTCCCAAACAGACCCCCGGCGACGCCCCGGGAGCCGTGCAGGATGAGCCCTGCCATTGCCCAGGGTCTCCCCGTAGAAACCACCCTCCTCCAGGGAGTCCCAGCCTCGCCCAGCAACCCCACCACCCGCCGCAGGAGCGCGGCCTCCCCGGGGCACAGCCTCCCACCCCCTAAAACGTTCCCCTCGACACAGGATCCCCGACGAACCCAGAGCAAGTCCCTCCCGGTTCTGGTCTCAGCCATGAGAATGGCCTCACCCATTACCTGGTGTTTTGGACATAAACTCTGGGTTTGGAAATGCTGCCCTTCCTGCAGGAATTCCCCTCTTTCCGGAAGCCCTGCTTGTCCTCAATACCCGGCGTTCTGCCTACAGACAGGAAGTCCAGCTTATCCCAACAGGAAGTCCCGCCCCCAGCCGTGGGAATGATTTGATTGGCATTTCAAATAATTACCCAGAGTTCTTTGCTTCGAACAATGGTTAAACTCCTGGGGTCTATTTTTTTTTTTTAATGTTTTTATTGGTTTTTAGAGAGAGAGGAATGGAGAGGGAGAGGGAGACAGAAACATCAATGATGAAAGCAAAACATCTTGGCGGCCGCCTGCACGCCGCAACCCGGGCGTGTGCCCTGACCCAGAATTGAACCGTGACCTCCTGGTTCATAGGTCCGCGCTCAACCACTGAGCCACGTGGCCTGGCTCATGGGGTCTATTTTATGCCTTTATCTTAACCCCCCTGTGTTCTATCTGTGAACAAGGAGAAAATACTAGTGCCTGTCTTCCTGGGTGTGGTGAGGGCTATGTGAGCTAATCTATGTAAAGTGCTTAGCCCAGTACCTGGCATATCCTTTATAATAAAACCCTAATATGCAAATCAACCGGACGGCCGAACGACCAGTCGCTATGATGTGCATTGACCATCGCTATGATGTGAGCTGCCCCCTGGTGGTCAGTGCGCTCCCACAGGGGGAGTGCCACTCAGCCAGAAGCCTGGTTCACGGCTGGTGAGCATAGCGGTGGTGGTGGGAGCCTCTCCCGCCTCCACTGCAGGCAGGTGGTAAGGAGCGAGGGGTCCCCGGACTGCGAGAGCCCCAGACTATGAGAGGGATGTCTGATTGCCGGCTTAGGCCTGATCCCTGGCGGGGGCGCAGGCCTAAGCCAGCAGGCAGACATCTCCCAAGGGGTCCCGGACTGTGAGAGGGCGCAGGCCAGGTTGAGGGACCCCTTCCAGTGCACGATTTTCGTGTACCGGGCCTCTAGTTGTGTTAATAACCGTCGGCTCGAACCTGAGGGAAGGTGGTCAAAGGCCAGGACCCCGATAGTTGCGGTCCCCACATTGAGCGCTTGCTCTGGGCCCTGGAGCCGTGGGCCAATTCTTGCCTGGGGTCTTCGGGAAGGGCGGGGGGAGATTCAGGCTCTAACCTTCCCCACCCCCACAGTCTCTGCTGACACAGAAGTGGTGGGGGGAGATGGACAGCTCCACGCCCATCTGGGCCCTGGTTCTCGCCTTCTTTTGCCCCCCACTCATCTACACCAACCTCATCACCTTCAGGTCAGTCCCGGGGTTAGGTTGGTAGGAGGGCGCTGCTCATCATTCTTCCTGCTCAGCTCTGCCCACCTCTCAGTCCTCCCAGTGCTTCCGCCTTATTTCCTCTCTTTCCCTCCCCAAGACTGGGGCACGTTCTGGGAGGTGAGCTTTTGGGGGGCTCTCTATCTCTACGGGCAATTCTTCTGCCTGCAGGCATGGCTCTGGGATGGTTCCCTTTAGGGTGACTCTAGCGGGGCACCTCCCCGTCTCCCTGACATATCTCTGGGTAAAGAAGCTGGGTATCTCCAGAGAATTCCTCTCCCACTGCTCCCTCCCCCGTTCTCACTCTGTGCCTCTCTCCATGCCAGGAAGTCCGCGAAGGAGTCCACACAGAAGGACCTGGGGTTTGACGTGGACGGGAGCCTCAACGGGGAAGGGCCTGTCAGGTGAGCGCAGCACCAGCACCGCACGCGGTGGGGCGGCCTGGGAAGCCGCAGGAGCTCCGGGTACGGGGAGCAAGGCTGGAGCAGAGAAGGGGGGCTTCCGGAGGTACTGGTTTCACGAAGCCACTGAAGATACTGAGGCAGTTTCCCAAATGCCGAGCTCAAGGCGTGGTCAAGGTTCGGTTCTGCCACCCAGGAGTTCCTCATTGGAAATAAATTTGCTTCACACTACATGTACTTCTATCTCGATAAGCAAGTAGAACTGGGTGCATCTGGTTAATTTAGGGAGACTTTGCCTATTTTTTTTTTTTCTGACTCCAGGGCCTTTGCTTTTTTTTTTTCCTCCTGCACACCCCCTGCTGGGGATGTGCCCGCAACCAAGGTACATGCCCTTGACCGGAATCAAACCTGGGACCCTTGAGCCTGCAGGCCGACGCTCTATCCACTGAGCCAAACCGGTTAGGGCAAGGTCAGCAGTCTTGATGGTAGGGGCTTTCAGAGGTCAGAGGTCACAAGTCAAGGAGATGGCAGGCGGACCGCAGACTTAGTTTCAGTTCGGCAGGGTCAGAAGTCGTGAAGGTGCAGGAGGTCACCTGAGAGGTTAGTGGTCTTGACAGTGGTGAAGGTCGGGTTCAGAGGTCAGGCTGAGCTCTCCCTTCTCTCTCCCCCCCACCCCCAGGCCAGCAGATCCCCCTGAGAAGATGCCCTTGGGGGTGTTGAGTCAGCCCAGCCGGAGGGGGTGCTCCCCACGCCTGTGGCGCTGGTCCCAGTTCTGGGGGGCGCCGGTGACGGCCTTCCTGGGCAACGTGGTCAGCTACCTGCTCTTCCTCATGCTCTTCGCCCGGGTGCTGCTCATCGACTTCCAGCCCACGGCGCCCGGCGCCCTGGAGCTGCTGCTCTACTTCTGGGTCTTCACCCTGCTCTGCGAGGAGTTCCGCCAGAGCCTGGGGGGCGGCTGGGGCA